AGGTATTATTATATATAGGAAGCACGATGTAATTTCTCAGAATACCTCAGTGTTAAACAATATATTTAGTACACCTTGATGTGTGTTTTTACTGGTTGTATAGAGAAGCATGATGTATTATTGTGATTGATGTGTGGTGGCAGGTGTTGATGTTATTCTCGATTGTATGGGAGCATCCTACTATCAAAGAAATCTTGACAGCTTAAATTCTGATGGAAGGCTTTTTATTATCGGTTTTCAAGAAAGAGGGAGGGGGGTAGATCTCCGCTCTTTACTTGCCAAGCGTCTTACTGTGGTAGTCTTTGAAAATCTTTGTACTTGGCAGCTATATATAACACTATGAGATGGTGTAAATATCTGTGTAGAACTACTGCCCTTGGGTTCCAAAATATTGCTATTATTTTTGGTTCTTACCTGAGGTTTTTTAAGATTTTGACCCTTATACGCTTGATTATTTTATAGCATAATCATTTCAGGTATTAATGTGCAAGCTTTGAATCCTATCAGATACACGTTTACTTCAAAAGGTAAAACACATAAAAATCAATAATTTAAACCATTATATCATCATTTTTATGTTTTCTGGATTTTTTTTACAAATTTCTACTTCTATGTTTTTTTTTATCAGCATTATTTTTTTTCTTCTATTTATGTTTTCTGGGTTTTTTTTTTTTTATAAATTTGCTCTAAAAATAGATTGCCTTATATATATATATATATATATAACCTTATATATAGATAGTTAAGTAGCGTTATAGATATAGATACGCATATATACGTAGACTTTTTTTTTTTATTTTACTTTTTTGTTAATAATACTTTAGCTTCAAATAGCTACACGCATATAATAGTTTTTATAGTTAGATTTTTTTTGTTGCAATTTATTTATTTTTTGGTGTAATAGAGAATTATTTGTAAAACTAGTTTGTATTTTTTATTATATGTAATTTTTTTTAATAAAGTTGTCATATCTTTTGTCCAAAGAAAAAGTTTAATGGCTGGTTATTCCGTTGGTTGAGAAAATTGACTCCAAATCATGCAGATGGATATAGTGCCCCCATATCCGTAGGCAGTTTTCAAGATGACATCAGTATTTATGCTGGCAGTTTAAAATGCCATCAATATTTGTTGAATTAAAATTCATATGAATTTAATTTTTTTTAAATTAAAAATATTTTTTTGACGGAATTCTATGAACATTCCGTTGTAAACTGTTAAGAATTTTCAACGGAATTCAATTTCGTTGAAATTTTCAACGGAGTTATAGATAAATTCCGTTGCAAACTGTTACATAACTTTTGGGTGAAACTTTTTCTTGTTGAAATTTACAACGGAATTTTTTGACATAACTATTTTCCGTTGAAATTATAGACGGAATTGTAGATAAATTCCGTTGAATTTTACAACGGAATTTTCTCACGGAGATTTTTTCTATTGCAATTATCGATGGAATTATAGTTAAATTCTGTCAGAAATTATGACAGAATTTTCAACAGAAATTAATTTCGTCAAAAATTTCAACGGAATTTTTGTTAAATTCTGTTGTAAATTGAGACAGAATTTTTTGATGGATATATTTTCCGTTGAAATTTTCGACGGAATTTATTATTTTAATATTATTTCATGACGGAAAGGTAAGGCTTCCAACGGAATACATTCCGTTGAATTTTTCAACGGAAAAATATTCCGTTGTAAATTGCAACGGAAAACAAAATTCTGTTGAAAATATTAATATTTCTAGTAGTGATTATTTATGTGCAGTAACATGAGAAAAAAAGTAAAGCACTATACAAAAATTATAAGGATAAAATCTTGTTTTACTTTCTAGTGAAATAAAGAGGAGAAATATAAGAAGTTTACTCATATTATGATTGAGTGACGGGCAAAACCAACACCCTATCTCAACAATAGAAGAGACATGAGAACATTCGGCAAAAACTAAAAAAGTAACAAAGAAGGGGATTGGATCTTGTCATATATTATTTCACATTACCATATGTCACAGAGGATCTGATAAAGACTTTTTAAATTATTTAAAATTGTAAAGTATTTAATGAAGAATTAAGACATTTATTGTCTTAAAAAATTTTAATATATTTTTCTTTAAATAATTATAAGTACCTATGAAGAAAATCCATTTCAAGTTTGAACAAGAAACTTTCTTCTTCGATTCTAACGGTCAGTACTCAGCACAGTACAATGGTGAAACCCTACACCTCCACAACCCAATGCCTCATTTCAATTTCAGATCACCATCTTCCACTCCCATTCAACCCAATCTCCAAAATTAACACCAATTCTTGTTTACGCAATTCAATCTTGCTTCGCCTTTCGCAATCGCATCCAACGCAGACACATCAACCAATCGTGTGCGCTAGGAGGCGTGGGTGGTCCCAACCATCGAATCGAAAGATGCTTCAACTGGCTTCCATGATTGCATTCAATCTCAAGATCTTGCCGGAGCCATTGAATTCGCTCATCGGCGAAATCGCGCGCGGCGATTGGAATGGAGTTCGCCCAGAGCATCACGTTCTGAAACGTCTCGTTGGTGGCTGGAGTGGGAAAATAACCAGGAGGAGGAGGCGGAGGAGGATGAAATCGGCGTGGTTCGTGTTCGTGTTGATCTGCGTTGCGGGTTTGTGGTCGTGGAGGATTTCAGAGATGGACCTGTTTCTGAGGGCGTTATTGTTTTGTGTCGCAGGGGTTTCTTTGATTCGGTTATGGCAGGGAAAGAAAGCCATCAAGGAATGGTTTTTAGGGTTTTTCTTTGGGATTGTTCTGATGATGAGTTCCAGGTTGGGCAGAGAGGATGTGAAATTTTGGGTTCAGAAGCTCAGGACTTGTTCTCCGGTTGCGCAAATTGCAGTGACAAATAGAAATAGAAAGGGGAGAATATCAAAATGAAAGCATGGAATGTTTGTTGTTTGTTCATGTTGTATCACAATCAAAATTATCTGTTCTTTGATTCAACAACCAAAAAGATCAGATCTGTGATAACTAAATGTTGTATACTGAGAATTACTAAATGATGCTTGAGGTTTTGCTCTTTTATTATAGTAACGCAACATTCCTAACTACTTTTTGATTTAAAATGTATGCCTTTTTATTTCTTCTATTTTTCATGGGTTTTAGTTTTATCCTTTAACATAACCCAACAAACTTTCCTACCCTCACAACATTTTGTAGGACCCACATTTTTTAAAACAAAAAAATAAATAAAAAATTAAAGCAAGCAAAACGAATCTCTATAACATTACACAATCACTTTTCCTACAACATAACTCTTATAAAACCCATTTTTTATTTCTTTTCACTTTTTGTCCTTTTCATAACGGTTAAAAGAAATGGAAGAAAAAAAATAGTATTTGTAAATTTCTGACATATTTGGCGTTATTTTTTATTTTATCTTTTGTCTTCAATCTATTTTCTTTTTCTTTTTTGGTAATCTATTTTCTTCTATTTTATTTAGACATCTTGGTATTATTTCTAACTCAAAAATCTTTCATAACACATGCTCATAATATTCAAAACTTAAATCATATAAATCAAACCATTAGAATGAGGATTTCTTACCTCAAATCGCTTATCCAAGATCTAAGGAACAAAACTCAAGCTTAGTTTCACTCAAAAATCAACTTCTCTCACTAGGATAAATAGTGACCGAATTTTTAGGAAGAGAGAGCTCCCCACACAAGCATTTTCAACCCCAATAAATGAGTGGAATGAACTTTTGTATTTGGATGATTATGTTATGAGAAATCAAAGAAAAGAAAAAGAAAACCTAAACTTGGTTTCTATGGAAGAAAGACGGCGCGCCCGGGAGGGAGTTGAATAAGGAATTCACTAAAAAAGTTAAATACGTTAAGTTACTTTAATTGGATAATAGCTTATCTATCTACACACCTCCATTCAATACCAAACTTTACTCAATGAACTAGAATATTTTTTTAGTCATACTTCTTCTAAGCCAAAGAGCGTACTATATCACCCTCGGGTTACTTCACTCGACTAAGGGTGAAAGACATCGCATGGAATAGCTTACACGGAAAGGAGCTTGGTACAAGCTCAGATTCAAAATAGAAGTTCAATTCTAATCATGAATGGAATCAGTGCGCCTATCAACCGTAGGGATTGGGTGCGGCCTTTCTGTGGTAGCTAGGCCTGGTAGCATGGTTAACAGACAAAAGCCAAGAGCATCGGTGACAGGGTCAACATCCTTCCGAGAGGAGCTAGCCCCGTAGGTTGGGGGAAGAGGGCATTTCCATCGCGAATTTGCATTATGAGTAATTTTTTCTACACACATTTTTACTCTAAAAATCTCACTAACTGTACTTTTTATCTCAAAAGTAACCCTAATTTATTTAATTAGGTCTTTTACGTAATTTAACCTATTTATGCATGATTAAATATTTAATCATATGCCCTTTTTTAATTAAATGGGTTAGGAATATTATAGTAATATTTTATCCTAGGAAACAACTTTTTTTAACTTACTCATTTTTTCAACAGATTCCTTATAATTGTATCACATCACATTCCCACTTCTTTTTCGGTATGAGATAATGTTGATGTCGCTGACTAGACTTGATTCCCCTTCTTGTTAGTGTTAGTGTAGTATATTATAAATATGAGCACTGATTAATTAATTAATTATTCTTTCTTATGCTATTGAGGTTGATCTTTGTTGTGTTGAGAAATAATAAATGATTTTGAAGATGTATTGTTTGAGGTGGAAGATGCGTTGTCTGCTAGTACTGTCCTTTCTTTTGCATTGCATATCTGCTACTGCTTGTAACGGTCCTTTCTTTTGTTTTGCATATCTGCTAGTACGGTCCTTTCTTTTGACCTGATAGTGACAGGAAAGGTTCGAAGAAGCACATTTGAAGCTTAATAAAGAAATAGAAGGTTGCATCTAAGTCATTTGTATCACTGGTGAGTCTTCCTGGTTGAAAACTTGCATTCTAAGTTGCAAAAAAAAAAAACTTGCATTCTATATTACCATGCCACCCAGGAGGAGATCACTGAGACTAAAGAAGCATGAAGAAGGAGAAGGAACAATAAAGAACAATAGGAAGCTGGTTGATGTTATGGGCTCTGATTCACCTGCTAACATCATCAACAAGGCAAGTAAACGTGTTATAAAAGACTATCGTTGTAAAGTTTTAATTTTTAGAACTTGGCACTTCACATTGTCTACATTTTATATTAAAATATTAGTTGTTGATTTAAAACTTTTGAAAAAAAAAAACTGGTCATTATTAGCTTCTAATAACCCAAGTAAAAGTTTGACGGGGAGCAGCCATGAAAATGTACAAGATTAGAGTTGGTTCTACGCTTCAAATTTTAAGTAGTTATTAGTTTGGTATGCATTTGAGATGGATACTCATATATTTATTCTTATTTTACCATATTTCTTCTGTCTTTAGTTTATGATTGTACTATAAATATATTAAAATGATGCATTTAACACGCACACACATGATTTTTTAGATGACAGAATTTTATTTCTCATAATCTCTAGTTTGTCCTCAATTTTTTTTATTTTTTTTTTTGCATTTGAGTGCACCTCTGCAAACATTCATCAGATGTCTACCATTAAAAAGATTAATTGTGCAGGCATATCAAGCTCCAACAGGTTCTCTTATACATGCTGATACTTTCAACATGACACAAGTAGATATACCAGAAATGGAGGAGGCAAGTGAGGCTGAAATGTCAGCGCCAAATCACTTAGATCAAATGGAAGGGCCTAATATTCAAGCATCAAGAGCAAATAAGAATCATAACAAGTCTATTTCAATGGCTGAACGTCCATCCCGATCTTTCAGCCTCAATCAAACTGAAATGGTCAAGATGTGTGATGATAATGAAGATGAGGTTAACTCTGTCGGACAGAGCTTGCCAACGGGCACAGTTGATGCATACCAAGTGAAGCCAGAATCCATACCCCTACTAAAAAAAATCCTCAATAAGCATGGAGATATTGCTAAGAATTGTACCATATCAACAATGAAATACCGTTCAACGTTGTTGGAGATGATATGTGATATCTTCTCAGAATTGCAAGACGAGGATCTTGGTAAAATCAAAGAAGATAACCTGCAAGATATGATTGCTCTTGTGAATGAAATGAAAAATATGAAAGTGGACATAGGGTGGCTTCAGATGAGACTGTTTCAGATACTTGAGGCAAAACATATTCTTAGTCAATCTAGCACACTCAAAGAAGCTGAAAAGAGCAATAGACAATTCATTAAAAATTGTTGGGCTTCCTCCTTCAATGTTAAGCCCAAGCCCATTTGAGGGGTTTCCTAAAAACCCTAACCCTAATTTCCACCTCCTCTATATATACTCATTAGTTGAGGGTGGAGGCTAGGTTAGATTAGAGAGGTCAGATTTGAGAGAACAAATTTGAGAGAATTATTTGATTGTTTGAGCAAGGCTTTATGCTTTGCATTTGAAAGATCTCTAGAGAGAGAGTTTGAGTGAAACATCTCTAGGGTAGTTTGATTATCACCATTGTTGGAGAGGTTGAGTTAACCACCACATTGGTGTATTTGATTATTCGTAACCATTATTTTCATAGTGGATTTTTGATCTGGACTAGGTCCCGTGGGTTTTTACTTCTTCATTGGAGAAGGTTTTCCCACGTTAAATCTGGTTGTGTTCTTCTTCTCTCTCTCCTGTTTTCATTTTGATTTTTTCGCTGCGCTACCTGACCTGGTGAAGTTCAGGCCGAAGTATTGCCGAGATTCGAGATCAGGATCTTGTTGATTGACTTCCGCACAAAAGGCCCCTGAGCCGATCTGTGGGAACCGAGTTTTCCCAACAGTGGTATCAGAGCCCGAGTTCGACGGGTTCTGAAGGAGACGAGATGGAGACCAGTGGCATAACTCATGATGGAGATATGTTTAAGTTGACCGCAGACAACTTCACTTATTGGAGACCGATGATGGAAGATCATCTCTACTGCAAAGATCTGCATGAGCCCATTATCCTTGATGAGAGACCAGCAGGAAAAACTGATAAGGAGTGGGAGATCCTGAGTCGGAAGGCGGTAGCCACGATCAGGAAATATATTAATAAAAGCCTCTTTGAGCACGTGTCCGAATTGACGAACGCGTATGAGTTGTGGACGAAGCTAGAGTCCATGATTCAGAAGAAGACTCCCAGGAACAAAGCACACCTGGTTCGCCGACTTGTTAAGCTTGAATACAAGGACGACATGAGCATGATTGAACACCTGAACACCTACAAAGGTATTGTGAATCAGCTGACAAAGGCTGATATGAAAATTGATGAAGAATTGCAGGCATTGCTGCTGTTGAGCTCGCTGCCAGAAAGCTGGGATTCTCTGGTGGTGACCCTGAATAACTCGACTCCAGATGGAAAATTAAAGATGGATGTCGTGACAGACAGCCTCCTGGGCGAAGAATCCAGGAGAAGAGAACGAGGTATTTCGAGTACGTCTGAGGCCAATGTTGCTGAGAACAAAGGGAAATCCGACTCCCGGGGTAGAAGTAAAAGCCGCGGTCGAGATCGAGATAGAAGAGGAAAGTCCAGAGGTCAGTCAAAGCCGAAATATGAGTTGAAATGCTTTTACTGTGGAAAGACAGGCCATAAGAAGCTAGACTGCTGGACCCTGCAGAATGATGAGAAGAACGGCTCTGTGAAGCCGGATCAGATTATTCCCAAGAAGAGGGAAGACAAGAGCACTACTGCGGTGGTTGCAAACCCTAATGCCGATATATTCCTCCTAGGTGAGGATAATTATTTGAATGTTGCATATGATGACTGCACCTGGATTGTTGACTCTGGTGCCTCCTTCCACGTTACTCCACACAAAGGTTTTTTCTCCTCTTATCGAGGTAGTGATTTTGGAGTCGTGAAGATGGGAAATCAAGTGACCAGCAAGATTGTTGGTGTCGGTGATGTAACTCTGACCACAGATGTCGGATGCCGACTTGTGTTGAAAGATGTAAGGCATGTTCCTGACATGTGTTTGAACCTAATCTCGGTAGGCAAGCTTGACGATGCCGGGTTAGTGAACTACTTCGGTAGTGTGAGATGGAAGCTGGCCAAGGGAAACTTGGTCGTGGCCCGAGGTAAGAAGGAAGGCTCCTTGTACGTGATGCAAGAAAAAATCAATGGCGGAGAAGCCAATTCTGTTCGAGATGAACCTAGCTTGGAGCTATGGCATAAGCGCCTCGGCCACATGAGCGAGAAAGGGCTACAGATCCTGAACAAGAAAGGATTATTGACCGGGTTGAAAGGCCAAGCGTTGGAGAGTTGCACGCACTGCCTAGCTGGAAAACAGCACCGGGTTTCCTTTGCGAGACCGGATCAACCAAGAAGACGAAGGAATATTCTTGACCTCGTCCATACTGATGTTTGCTCCATGTCAGAGAAATCTCTTGGAGGAGCTCAGTACTTTGTTTCATTTATTGATGACCATTCCCGCAAAGTGTGGGTATATTTGTTGAAGACTAAAGACCAGGTACTCCAATCCTTTAAATAATTCCATTCTATAGTTGAAAGGGAGACTGGCAAGAAATTGAAGGTGGTCCGATCTGACAATGGTGGTGAGTATTGCGGCCCATTTGATGCATACTGCAGAACGGCCGGGATTCGACTTGAGAAGACGCCCCCCAAGACTCCACAGTTGAATGGACTTGCTGAGAGGATGAACAGAACTATTGAAGAGAAGGTCCGAAGCATGTTATCCAATGTCGGATTGCCGAAATCATTCTGGGGAGAAGCCGTCAAAACTGCTGTTGACTTGATCAACCTCTCACCATCACGGCCACTTGAAGGAGAAATTCCAGAAGAAGTCTGGACAGGTCAGAAAGCGGCCTATAATCAATTGAAGGTGTTTGGATGTCGAGCTTTCGTGCATATCCCTAAAGATGAAAGGGCCAAACTTGATGCGAAGACAAAAGAATGCATCTATCTTGGTTCGTCGAGATGTGAGTTCGGGTTCCGACTTTGGGATCCAATCAATAAGAAGATCGTGAGAAGCCGAGATGTGATCTTTCATGAGCATGAGAATATTCATGACATCTCGAAGCCCAAAGTCCGAGTTACTGTCAGACGTGAAGAACCCATCCCTCCTGTCCGAGTTGAAGCAGGGGGAGAAAATCAAGAAAATGATGATCAGCAACAAGCTGAAGATGACCAAGACATTGAGGTCCGAGTTGATGATGAGATCCGGGATGAGAATGATGAACCGGGTTCTCAAGCTGAAGAACAGCCGAGATATCCAACTCGAGAAAGAAGACCCTCTACGAGATACCCATCTGATGAATACACCGTTGTTGCTGAAGACGGTGAGCCTCAGAGTTATGATGAGGCTATGATGAGCTCAGAGAAAGAAGAATGGGAAAAGGCAATGCAAGACGAGATGAAGTCTCTGCACGAGAATCAAACTTATGAGCTGACTGAGTTGCCAAAAGGAAGACGAGCTCTGAAAAACAAATGGGTCTACAAGATTAAGAATGAAGAGAACGGGCAAAAGCTGAGATACAAAGCCCGGATTGTAGTGAAAGGCTGCAATCAGAAGAAAGGAGTTGATTTTGAGGAGATTTTTTCTCCTGTGGTGAAAATGACCTCGGTCCGAACCGTGTTAGCTATGGCAGCTTCGATGGACCTCGAGGTAGAACAAATGGACGTGAAGACGACATTTCTTCACGGTGACTTAGAAGAAGAAATATATATGGAGCAACCTGAAGGATTCCAAGCTCCAGACCAAGAAGACTTGGTATGTCGTTCGAAAAAGAGCCTCTATGGCTTGAAGCAAGCACCTCGGCAGTGGTACAAGAAATTTGAATCATTCATGATTGATCATAAGTTTGTGAAGACTGAAGCCGACCACTGCGTATTTGTGAAGAGGTATGAGGCAGGAGATTTTTTGATCTTGTTGTTATATGTTGACGACATGCTTATTGTAGGGAAAGACAAATTGAGGATAGCCGCCCTGAAAAAGGCGTTGAGCTCGTCCTTCACAATGAAGGACCTCAGCCCTGCAAAGCAGATTCTCGGAATCAAGATCACCCGAGATAGAAAGAAGAAGCTACTGTGGCTAAGTCAAGAAAAATATATTGAGAAGATTCTGAAGAGATTCAGCATGGACAAAGCCAAAACAGTGAGCACCCCCCTAGCCGGACACATAAAGCTGAACCAGAAGCAATGTCCGAGATCTGATGAAGACAAAGATGAGATGATGAAGGTCCCTTACCAATCCGCCGTCGGAAGCTTGATATATACAATGGTTTGCACTAGACCCGACTTGGCGTATGCTGTTGGAATGGTAAGCCGGTATCTGTCAAACCCCGGCAAAGAGCACTGGGAAGCAGTGAAGTGGATCTTCAAGTACCTCCGAGGTACGACCGACTTATGTCTCCGATTTGGAGAAGGCAAAGCCGAGTTGCAAGGCTACTCGGATTCTGATTTAGGGGGAGATTTCGACTCGAGGAAGTCGACGACGGGATACATGATGAGATTTGCCGGAGGAGCTGTCTCTTGGCAATCAAGACTTCAGAAATGTGTTGCACTATCTACAACTGAGGTTGAGTACATTGTCGCTACTGAGGTAAGCAAAGAGATGTTGTGGATGAAGAAGTTCCTCATGGAACTCGGCCATGATCAAGACAAGTACGAGCTGGGTTGTGACAATCAAAGCGCAATCCATCTTGCGAAGAATTCAACCTATCACTCCCGCACTAAGCATATTGATGTGAGGTATCACTGGATCCGAGATGTGGTGGAAGGTGGAGAGCTCGAACTCGTCAAGGTGCACACTGACCAAAATTGGTCCGACATGATGACAAAGCCGGTTCCAGCAAGAAAATTTGAAGACTGCTGTGAAGGAGCCGGGTTGATGCTGAAGTCGTCGCATTGAAGTCGGAGGGGGAGATTTGTTGGGCTTCCTCCTTCAATGCTAAGCCCAAGCCCATTTGAGGGGTTTCCTAAAAACCCTAACCCTAATTTCCACCTCCTCTATATATACTCATTAGTTGAGGGTGGAGGCTAGGTTAGATTAGAGAGGTCAGATTTGAGAGAACAAATTTGAGAGAATTATTTGATTGTTTGAGCAAGGCTTTATGCTTTGCATTTGAAAGATCTCTAGAGAGAGAGTTTGAGTGAAACATCTCTAGGGTAGTTTGATTATCACCATTGTTGGAGAGGTTGAGTTAACCACCACATTGGTGTATTTGATTATTTGTAACCATTATTTTCATAGTGGATTTTTGATCTGGACTAGGTCCCGTGGGTTTTTACTTCTTCATTGGAGAAGGTTTTCCCACGTTGTTCTTCTTCTCTTTCTCCTGTTTTCATTTTGATTTCTCTGCTGCGCTACCTGACCTGGTGAAGTTCAGGCCGAGGTATTGCCGAGATCCGAGATCAGGATCTTGTTGATTGACTTCGGCACAAAAGGCCCCTGAGCCGATCTGAGGGAACCGAGTTTTCCCAACAAAAATGTGGAGAGAGAACTTGAAAAAAATGATGCAGAAAATAATGCTGTGGCAGAAAAGCTCCGATCAATCCATGCTAAAGAGACTATTTGCAAGGAGACACTGGCTAAAGCAAGGGACGAGTGTACAGCAATAGCTGCAACTATTGCAGATGCCAAATCTAAAGTGAGGCGCTTTCACAAGTGCTCACTGGTAGATGGTTTGCTTTAAGCCATTTCATCTCACCATCTCTGTTTTCTCCATGGTAAAGATTTTAGGATTGTTAACTGAGTTGTCCTTTATGACTGTTCTTAGTTGATTGTGTTTTTCATTTTTAAAATGTATGCTAAGACTGTTGTCAGTTTCCATTTATTTATCTACAAGAGTACTCAATTTGGGGTTGATTGTGTTTTTCATATATAAATATACCGTTTCATACTTACTGATGAATGTGTGATGGAGGAAGATATATTGAAGGAGTCAGGATTATAGCTCAGTGTGTGTATATATATATATACATTTGAAAGTCACATAAAATTTGCTTATGCTACCACTGGTAGACAAATTATAAAAAATATGCTATTTGAGTAAATAAAACTTCGTGCTTAGTTCACAATAAGAAATGGAAATAATGCTAAGTCAGGCTAATGAATCAAGATCTCGTGTGAGGGGGCATGTTGAGATATATAGTCCCACATTGGTTGTATGAGCAACTAATGTGGAGTTTATAAGGTCTTTGTGTTGGAATTTTTAATTCCTCTAAACCTTATGGTGATAACTATCACCTACAAGCCAAGATCCATCATACCAAATCATAAAGAAAAATAAGAACAACATAAAAGTGGAGGCATACCTGTCTCCATTGCAGCGGAATAACTTTTATCTTGTCTCTTGAGGTTTGTAGTCTTCCTCAGTCAAATCACCCTAAAACCTTATTCCTTAGTGTGTCGTCTCTCTCTTGATGGGGAAGAGAAACTAGGGTTGTTAATTTGACGTATTGGGACCATAACCCTTTTTTATAGTGTTTTTATCTTTATTGTTGGGCCAACAAGCTCCCATTATACCTAGCTGGCCCAACACCGGTATCCACTCATTCAGCCCATACTCACTTAGGAATCTATTTGGGAATATTTAACTGATCACTTTAATTTACCCAATATATATAAATAGCACAATATAATTATTAATATAATATGTGACCCACAATAATTATTAGAAAATATAATTTCCTAACACTTTGGGCTTAAAGCGTGGACAATGCAACATGCCCAGCCTACCTGTGCTAAGAAACTCCACAAGAGGAAGTGGGGGACGGCGAGACTCTGATACCATGTAAAGAACCAATTCAACCCAAAAGCTTAAGCTGTTAGGTGAGGCTACATTAATGGTTTTTATATATCTCAACACGCCCCCTCACACGAGAGCCCACTGGGCTTAAAGGGTGGACAATATACAAGCCCACATACATGTGAGAAGGTGAGATTTCGAACGCTCTGATACCATGTAAAGAACCTTGGGATACACCACCCCAAAAGCTAGCTCAAAGGGTGGGAGTGCCCAAGACCTTATAAACTCCACTTTAGTTGCACATATAACCACCAATGTGAGACTATATATCTCAACATTTCTATATATCTCAACAGATCATATATAATTTCTCAGAAGATGCCATTTATATTTTTGTCCATGATGATATCCAGATTCACTGGAGAGAGCTAATAGCATTAAACAGAGATACTTTGTAAAGAAAGTCATAAACTTGGATTTCCAGACAACAGACAATTTCTAGAAATCTACCCAAAAGAGTAACTTGATCAACAATGTCAAGCCCCCGAAGCATGAATTTAGTTAGGATAGTTTAAAATGTTGTTTGGATTTAACGTCTCTCACTTATGATAGTTCCATTGCTATCCATCAATATTGACACATAGAAATTCACAACCCTGCAATATCAACTTGGAGTCATACACTTAAACAATGTTTATGTGTATAACATAATTTGTCAAGGCGGATACACGGGGAAGCCTGTGGCTGAGGGCTACCATCAATGGGCTAGGTGGAACAAATACAACAATGGTATTGGTTGTGCTCCGGCTAGTCTGGTCATTGGATAGGAGGCGGGTTTGAGTACTTGGGCCATCGTATTCGGTTGAGGCGGGTTGAGTACTTGGGCCCTGAGTACTCGGTTGAGGGGGAGCATATCAATGTTGGGTTTCACACTTGAGGCAGAGATTGTTGAGATATTCAAGTGTGATGAGTCCCACATTGATTGGTAATGAGTTAAATGAAGAGTATATAAATGGAAGGACTCATGAACCCAATGCCTTAAGGTTTTGGGTTGACATGTGGTATCAGACTCATTTGGTGTATTTGGGATTGGTGGTGGTCTCCCGCCACGAGCTAGACTAATGATTGCCTAGGAGGCGAGTTGAGTACTTGGGTAGCATATCAATGTTGTCGAGCTAGACTGGTGATCGGCTAGGTGATTGTCGAGCATATCAATAAGTCCTACATTGGTTGGTAATGGACTAAGTGAAGAGTCCAATGCCTTAAGGTTTTGGGTTGAGATGTGATGTCGGACCCACTTGGAATATTTGTTCCAGTTAGCTCATTGGTGGTGGCCTCCCGCCACGGGCTTCCCCCTGGACCAGCCTGACATAATTTTCCTTGCAAACTTAGAGATCATATATCATGAAATTAGTGATGATTTTCTATGTTTATACATTAAAAATATTTATTTACGTTAGCGTTTTTCAATCAAGAGCACAATTTTATTTTAACTATAAAAAATCCCAACTAAGGGATATCAAATTATTAACACTTAGGTAGACCATAAATAACGTAACGTACACAAGTTACCCAACTCATTCTACGTGTGTTTTTCCTTAAGTATCCATCAACTTAATAGTCTAAAATTTTCACGAGTTAGTCAAAATTACCCTTATATCGTTAAATAACTTTTTATTAAATAATTATATTATTAATTTATTATTAGATTGATTTTTTTTTCTTTCACACACACATGTATAGAGAGTGGGGAAGGATCTTTTGACTTCGTTATAAGATTACAAAGTCTTATTCCTAATCTTAGTCATTGATTTTCTTGCATTTGACAATTATTGCTTATTGAGTTATGTCTATTAATTAATAATTAATCCTAAATAAATTATAACCATTAAATATACAATAATTAATGGTTGAGATGTGAAGTAACAATCTTATGTTCATATATATTTTTTAACATCCACTGATGATATATAAATTTTGTCTTGCAGGCTACATAATAATGCAATGAGAGTGGTGATGTGGTGGTGATGACAGATGATAGCAATAGCATTATAGGTGATGGGCTGGTGGAAGGTTTAAAATACTTTTTATATTTTACTTTATTAAATATAGGGATTAACATCTTTAAATATAGTTACTTCATTAGATAGCATTATAGAATTATCTCTTCCAATCCAAAAAAATATTGATTTGAGGTTTGGAAAATAATAATATAGGATATTTTAGTAAAATTTATAATGTAAAAGGAAAATAAAATTTCTAAACTATCCTACCTCTATTTTTTGTACTTTATTTTTTTTGCTTGTTTCAGTGCTTAAACCTCAAACATAATTTTTGAGATTTTGACTGCAGTAGTTTCTTTTTTTTAAAAGTTTGACCAGATTAAGCTTCCGGTCAAACTTATTATAGTAATGCATAATGGCGTGGTACTGACACCACTGCGATAAGACACGACACGATAACAATCGCGTTACACTCAATTTTATCAAACCAAGATCATCTGAATCAGAGCCATTGCACAAAAATGCGATAGGATGTGTACCAATTTCATGCACTCCAACAATCTCAAAGTACCAATTTTGGACGCGGCACTGTGAGTGCCAATTTCATGCACGATTTCCAACGTGCACAGTAGACGTGGTACACATCCTACCGCGTCTTTGTGCAATAATTGTGGCTCTGATTTAGATGGTCTTGGTTTGATAAAATTGAGTGTAACACGGTTGTTATTGGGTCGTGTCTTATCGCGGTGGTCTACGAATAAGTTTAGCCGTTGGTAAAGCTCGAACATGATTTCATGCTCTATTTTATTTTTATTTTATTTTTTCTTGTTTAGGTGTGTTGGAAAAGCTCAAACTTAACATTTTTGGTTAAAAACTGAAAAAATTTAGCCGTTGGTAAATCAAAAACAATTTCATGCTTTATTTTAAAAAAAAGTTATTTGTTTGTTTTGGTTTCACGACCATACACACACCTCACTCTTAGGTGGCGTTTGGTAGAAGAGAAATTTTTGTTTACCTGAAAATCTTGATTCTCTAAAATATTATGGAAAAATGAGTTATCTGAAAATGTGACTAAAAAGGTGTTTGGTAAGTATAAATTTTCCCAAGATTTTGTGGTTAAGTTTACTGAGTTTGTGTTTGGTTGATTATGAAATATTAGTGGGATTGTGAGATTATTTTACCAAAATAACCCCACTTTTATTTTGATTCAAAAAGTTCTGTACGTGACACCATTTGTTCAAAAATTATACAAATCAAAGGGTAATAATCGTACAAACTAAAGGGTAATGTGGTCTATTCTTTCTGATGAATCAAAGTGATGATGTGGATGCAACGTACACTTGATGATTCCACGCCAACATAGTTTTGATGATAACAAAGAGAAATGATCAAGAACGAAGCAACATCCAAAAAGAAACTCAAGCAAATGTGAAAGCAATGCAAGCACCAAGTCTCAAGCATCAATCCAAGTCCAAAATCTCAAATGGTATATTTATTTAGGACTTAGGAAAAATGTGTAAAGATGTATAGATACTAAGCATTGCATGAGCTCAAGGTCATTCATCACTCATATCTTTCAAAAGCATGCATCCTTAAAGAAGTGTCAAAACAAAAGGTTGATTTGTCCAAAATTGATTTGAAAAAGGTACCTACATGATTTAAACCCTTCAAGACAGTTTCCATAATCAACTTTATGAATTACAAGTCATAGAAACCCTTTTAAAAGTAAAGAAACTCAGAATTCGAGCAAAAAGGATGCTACCATGAAATATCCGGATATTGCACTGAGAATATCCAAATATCAATATCCGGATACAATATCCGGATATCCATATCCGGATATGAGCCCGATAAATATCCGGATATGTACGGATTACAACGGCTATAAAACGGCTAGAAATGGCTAGTTTTCAAAGAAGTGTCACTATAAATACCCACATC